AGCCGTAGAAAAAGAATCAATCAATCAATGAAATACTGATTTGCTACACAGGCATGTCTTTTAGATTTATTTACATTCTCTGGAATAGAAATATATAGAAACTAAAGTGGCCACAAAGTGAAGGATCAGTGTATCTATAGATTGTAATATAGAATTGATCCCCCACTTTATATACACAGTATAATTTATTTTATGTTTATTAAATTTTGATGATGCATGAATCCACCTTTTCTCCTCCCAGCTATGGGTTAAATAAGGGGAGATTTGTATCATTAATCCTTATTATGATTTATTCACAATTTCTGAAATATAAATGTATAAAAGCTACAGTCGCCACAAAATGAGGGAACAGTTTAAACATTGATTGTAATATAGAACTGATCCTACATTTTATATCCACATCACAATTTCTTGTTTGGTTATCGAATTCTGATGAGGAATGAATTCACCTCTTGTCCTCCCAGCTATGGGTTAATTAGTAAACTTGTATCACTAAACCAATTTTATCTGCCAAAAAATTCTTAGAATCTAAAAATATTTTTTGGCTTAAAATAACCTGCAAATGGTTGATAAGACGTAGAAAACGAAAGGCAATTATTCTGACTCTAATGGCTCTCGAGCCTTCTACATGGTGAATATTATTGTAAAAGAAATTTTGAAAGTGTGTCTAATGAAAATATATATAGTCCCGTTCTGTTTTATATTATAAAATAGATTTAATAAAATTTCGGGGTAATTTCGTATTCTTTAAGCCCAAACTTGCCATATGAAGGATTTATCTGGGTTTTATTGTAAAACTCTGGCTTCTTCAAAGTTAACTGGATGAAAATGTGTGTTAAAATAAATCCCACAGTAAGACGAACCGACAAAGAAGATTAAGACTTTTTATAAAAATGTGGAAAATTGCGAACTGCTTTCCTTTTAGTTTATATTAGATTTGTTTTGCATATGACAAATAAATAATTTGGGACGGTGAAATCAGTAAAAACAGAAATTTTGAAGGCTGATCCTTTAATAATACCTACTGTATATTAATAACAAGATTTGGATCTGATGTAAAAAATTTCGAGTGACAAATTTTGGGCAATATCAGGAAAATCTTGTTAGGCGAAGTCAGAAATAATTACCATATTTATTTATCAACTTTATCCTTCGAAAAATAAAGTTTGAAAATTATTCAATTCTATATTCCCAATTATTTTGCAATGTCTTGTTGTCACTTACCAGACAACACTTCCTTGCCTTTTCAGTAAAATTCTACAGGTTTTGATGTTAGAAGTATTTCGACGAATCTTTATCAGACAATTCTTCCGTTCCTTATCAGTAAAATTCTACAGGTTTTGATGTTAGAAGTATTTCGACGAATCTTTATCAGACAATTCTTCCGTTCCTTATCAGTAAAATTCTACAGGTTTTGATGTTAGAAGTATTTCGACGAATCTTTATCAGACAATTCTTCCGTTCCTTATCAGTAAAATTCTACAGGTTTTGATGTTAGAAGTATTTCGACGAATCTTTATCAGACAATTCTTCCGTTCCTTATCAGTAAAATTCTACAGGTTTTGATGTTAGAAGTATTTCGACGAATCTTTATAAGACAATTCTTCCGTTCCTTATCAGTAAAATTCTACAGGTTTTGATGTTAGAAGTATTTCGACGAATCTTTATCAGACAATTCTTCCGTTCCTTATCAGTAAAATTCTACAGGTTTTGATGTTAGAAGTATTTCGACGAATCTTTATCAGACAATTCTTCCGTTCCTTATCAGTAAAATTCTACAGGTTTTGATGTTAGAAGTATTTCGACGAATCTTTATCAGACAATTCTTCCGTTCCTTATCAGTAAAATTCTACAGGTTTTGATGTTAGAAGTATTTCGACGAATCTTTATAAGACAATTCTTCCGTTCCTTATCAGTAAAATTCTACAGGTTTTGATGTTAGAAGTATTTCGACGAATCTTTATCAGACAATTCTTCCGTTCCTTATCAGTAAAATTCTACAGGTTTTGATGTTAGAAGTATTTCGACGAATCTTTATCAGACAATTCTTCCGTTCCTTATCAGTAAAATTCTACAGGTTTTGATGTTAGAAGTATTTCGACGAATCTTTATCATACAATTCTTCCATTTCAGTAAAATTCTACAGGTTTTGATGTTATAAGTATTTCGACGAATCTTTATCAGGCAATTCTTCCGTTCCTTATCAGTAAAATTCTACAGGTTTTGATGTTATAAGTATTTCGACGAATCTTTATCAGACAATTCTTCCGTTCCTTATCAGTAAAATTCTACAGGTTTTGATGTTAGAAGTATTTCGACGAATCTTTATCATACAATTCTTCCATTTCAGTAAAATTCTACAGGTTTTGATGTTATAAGTATTTCGACGAATCTTTATCAGGCAATTCTTCCGTTCCGTTTCAGTAAAATTCTATAGATTTTAATGTTAGAATTATTTCGACGAATCTTTATCATACAATTCTTCCGTTCCTTATCAGTAAAATTCTACAGGTTTTGATGTTAGAAGTATTTCGACGAATCTTTATCATACAATTCTTCCATTTCAGTAAAATTCTACAGGTTTTGATGTTATAAGTATTTCGACGAATCTTTACCAGACAATTCTTCCGTTCCTTATCAGTAAAATTCTACAGGTTTTGATGTTAGAAGTATTTCGACGAATCTTTATCATACAATTCTTCCATTTCAGTAAAATTCTACAGGTTTTGATGTTATAAGTATTTCGACGAATCTTTATCAGACAATTCTTCCGTTCCTTATCAGTAAAATTCTACAGGTTTTGATGTTAGAAGTATTTCGACGAATCTTTATCATACAATTCTTCCATTTCAGTAAAATTCTACAGGTTTTGATGTTATAAGTATTTCGACGAATCTTTATCAGACAATTCTTCCGTTCCTTATCAGTAAAATTCTACAGGTTTTGATGTTATAAGTATTTCGACGAATCTTTATCATACAATTCTTCCATTTCAGTAAAATTCTACAGGTTTTGATGTTATAAGTATTTCGACGAATCTTTATCAGACAATTCTTCCGTTCCTTATCAGTAAAATTCTACAGGTTTTGATGTTAGAAGTATTTCGACGAATCTTTATCATACAATTCTTCCATTTCAGTAAAATTCTACAGGTTTTGATGTTATAAGTATTTCGACGAATCTTTATCAGACAATTCTTCCGTTCCTTATCAGTAAAATTCTACAGGTTTTGATGTTAGAAGTATTTCGACGAATCTTTATCATACAATTCTTCCATTTCAGTAAAATTCTACAGGTTTTGATGTTATAAGTATTTCGACGAATCTTTATCAGACAATTCTTCCGTTCCTTATCAGTAAAATTCTACAGGTTTTGATGTTATAAGTATTTCGACGAATCTTTATCATACAATTCTTCCATTTCAGTAAAATTCTACAGGTTTTGATGTTATAAGTATTTCGACGAATCTTTATCAGACAATTCTTCCGTTCCTTATCAGTAAAATTCTACAGGTTTTGATGTTAGAAGTATTTCGACGAATCTTTATCATACAATTCTTCCATTTCAGTAAAATTCTACAGGTTTTGATGTTATAAGTATTTCGACGAATCTTTATCAGACAATTCTTCCGTTCCTTATCAGTAAAATTCTACAGGTTTTGATGTTAGAAGTATTTCGACGAATCTTTATCATACAATTCTTCCATTTCAGTAAAATTCTACAGGTTTTGATGTTATAAGTATTTCGACGAATCTTTATCAGACAATTCTTCCGTTCCTTATCAGTAAAATTCTACAGGTTTTGATGTTAGAAGTATTTCGACGAATCTTTATCATACAATTCTTCCATTTCAGTAAAATTCTACAGGTTTTGATGTTATAAGTATTTCGACGAATCTTTATCAGACAATTCTTCCGTTCCTTATTAAAATTCTCAGGTTTTGATGTTAGAAGTATTTCGACGAATCTTTATCATACAATTCTTCCATTTCAGTAAAATTCTACAGGTTTTGATGTTATAAGTATTTCGACGAATCTTTATCAGACAATTCTTCCGTTCCTTATCAGTAAAATTCTACAGGTTTTGATGTTAGAAGTATTTCGACGAATCTTTATCATACAATTCTTCCATTTCAGTAACATTCTACAGGTTTTGATGTTATAAGTATTTCGACGAATCTTTGCCAGACAATTCTTCTGTTCCTTATCAGTAAAATTCTACAGGTTTTGATGTTAGAAGTATTTCGACGAATCTTTATCATACAATTCTCCCGTTTCAGTAAAATTTTACATGTTTTGATGTTATAAGTATTTCAACGAATCTTTGTCAGACAATTCTTCCGTTCCTTTTCAGTAAAATTCTACAGGTTTTGATGTTAGAATTTCCGCGAATCTTTATCAAGTCCTCCGTTTCTTTTCAGTAAAATTCTACAGGTTTTGATAGTTAAAGAATTTCGACGAATTCTTCACTCTTGTCGATGTTAGAGAAGGTTTTCTACATGGAATCGTTTGACATCTTTTGCAAAACGTTAATCGTTTGGTGCAAGGTTAGGTGAATAGAATATACCTGGGCTAGAACCTCATCCGTTGAATTCACTTACGCTTTTGCATCTTCTATAAAACATAGGTTTTTCATACTTTTTCAATTTGTCATAGGTTTTATTAATATTGTAACTGAACGACATTTTGTTTTAGCATCGTGTTAAAATCGTTAAAAACTGGAAGACTTACGGCCATAATACATTAAAGAGCCGATGCTCGTACAATCGCCATAGTTAAGCAACGTCGAGTCTGGCCAATATCTAGAGGAGTGACCGTTTTGGAATACCAGGTGCTTTAAGCTTGGACGTGCGAGTGGTCTGAACAGTTTACGCCCATATCACGTTGAAGCATCAGTCCTCATACGATCATAAGCAACGTCGAATCTGGTCAGTGTCTAGATGGGGGACCGCTTGGAATAACAGGTGCTTTAAGCTTGGATGTGCAAGTGGTCTGTAGGGCTTACGGCCATATCACGTTGAAACACCGGTCCTCATAAGATCACCGAAGTTAAGCAAAGTCAAGTCTGGTCAGTATCTAGATAGGGGACCGCTTGGAAATACCAGGTGTATTAAACTAGGATGCGAGGGCGGTCTGAAGAGCTTACGGACATCTCACCGTTTCTTGTATGATCACCGAAGTTAAGCAACGTTGAGTCTAGCCAGTATCTAGATGGGGGACTGCATTTATATCTGCTCATCGCCCACTGCTAGATATGGATCCATTAAGAGGATTTGTATCATTATTGACTGAAAAAAATTTACGACCTAAAAATATTTTCCGGCTTTAAATAACCTGCAAAGGGTTGATAATCCATAAAAAACAAATCAATCAATTTACAATTTGGGTAGGTCAATAAAAGTAATGTATAGACTCTGTAAATTATCAACGAGAGGTGTACGATTCCTAATTGGTGTATAATTAAGCGTGGTTTTGCTGTAAGGCCTGTAGCAACCAAGCAGTGAAAGCATAACTAGATAAAAGTTGGTTTACCAGTAAAAGGAAATCCAGGTTCGATCCCAGTCCAGAAATATTTTTTTTTAATAATACATTCGATGATCTATACCAGTAGACGTTAATTTCACGTAAATAGTCAATTTAATTTAAGAATATGTTAGGGAGGTAAGTTAGTTTAACTTTTTATTGTTAATGTTTTAAAAATACTCAACATGCAATTCTTTTGAAAAATTTTTTAAAAAGGCTTCAATTTGTTTCTATAGACATATTTAAAAAAATGTTGCTGTACTTTATAATTCATTTTATTTAGTTTTGGTTTCGTTTTTTTTTTATATATATAGAGCGCTTCGAGAATTTGAAGTCCTTTTTTCATTTTCATGATGGAGTATACATATCTACAAGGCAACACAGTGACATCTACTGTAAACTTAATAACTCAAAAATGAAGGATAAGCGGACATATGTTTTTTTGTAGATTTGTCCTTGTTTTGGTGTGAGGAACCTGCACCCAAAGATTGTGAAAGTATTTTTGATACACCCTATATCTATCTATCTATCTATCTATATATATATATATATATATATATATATATATACAAACCGAATGTAATGGAACGAAAAGAATATAAATTCAAACGTTCATAACATTATTTTAAAAGAGGGATCAATACAAGAGTAGAGAAAGAAATATGTTAGCCCCCTGATGAGGCGACTTTAGACGTCGAAACAGGTATGCATTTTTGTCGTGGTAACTTGCATGTTCCAATTTAACAGATTATATATATATCTATGAATAAGTGGAAATTGTTCTTGATATATAAAGATTGATATATCATTTTCCCATATATGTGTGTGTGTGTGTGCGTTCGTGTGTGTGAATGAAAAGAGGAGAAACTATTCTTAGCCGACGCGTTTCGTCTTCTGAGAAACTTTAGTAAATCACATTGCCATGATAAAATCCCTCAGAGGACGAAACGCGTTGGCGCAAGAAAAGTTTTTCCTCTTGTCTCTTTTTACTCATTTTCTTCCTTTACAGATAACCCCTATCTATAATTTAAACACACACGCGCACACACAGAGATGTAAATATATATATATATATATATATATATATATATATATATATATATATATGATTATATGGACGTTTGTACTTGTTTTTTGGTGAGAAACCAATCGTTAAAATTTCTAAATCTATTTTGATACATGTATGTATATATATATATATATATATATATATATATATATATATATATATATATATATATATATATATATATATTATGAAATCGACAAAGTCCGACTATTATTTTTTAAGACATTTTTATGTTTATACTTTTCTTTTATAGATACAAATATTGAAGTAAATGCTCTCTTCATAATAAACAGTATTAATATCATTTACCCGCATGAATGTCCGAGAAATTTCCATAGAAAATATCCGTCCTCCGAGGGTAATCTCGGATTGTATCTATAAAAAGAACGTATAAATATATAAAATATATATATATAAAAAATTAATGTTGACAGTAAAGTGACATCTTAGAAAAAAATATTTTTTTTTTTTTATAGAATTTAGTCTTTTGCAAATGTCGAAATATCTATAGAATTTAGTCTTTATGTCGAAAAATATTCTGCAGAGAACTGTTAACTTTATTATAGTGTACATCATGGCTGAATGTAAAAATGCCCATTGGAGACCTGTTTTATGACGTAAAAATACCCGATTTCACGTCACAAATTCGGCGTATTCCAAATAGAATACTCCCCCCACATGAGTCATATTTTTCAGACCCGTCATCTTCTTATCTCCTGTTGCAAACACCACGTCTTTTGAACGCGTCCTACGTATTCAAGATGCCAAAAACTAGCTCGAAGAATTAAACAACTATAAATTATCGAATACAGTTTAGTCAAAAGATGCCATAAGTGCAAAGAAATATCAGGATAATATTCTAACTAGTGAATGATATTGATATAAATTAACTGACAATTATGAAGGTTTTCACAAAGACGTAAACAAAGAACGTAGATAGTATACGATGATAGATTATTCTGAATGAGGCACTTAAATAAACATTTTATTCGTCAAATAATCATGGATTAAGATCTTTTGTCTCCCTAAGTTGTGTAAAATCGAAAATATCGTTCGTCTAGCTGCCCCAAACGTCGGCTGATCAGAAACAAAACTAATTACCTCATTAGGCTTTCCTGATGAGTTTACTGGCTAGACATTTTTTAAGCGTTTCACCCCAAGCAAGGCGGGAAGCCACTAGGACGCAAGGGGTTACAGAAGATTTGGAGCAAGATCAGATAGGATTGATAGAGGAAAGGATGAGGAGAAGGATAGTGGATAGATCAAGGCAACTGGAGATGTCGATTGGCATTACATTTGAATAGTTGGAGATTATAGCTCTCAGGGAAACTGGAATAGGGAAGGGAGTTCCACAGGCGAGAGGTGCGAGACATGAAGCTATTGGAGTAGAAGAGACGGCTATATTTAGAAGTTTCGACAGTGAAAGGGTGAGAGCAGGATGCCAGCCTCGTAGGGCGCTTGAACTCATGAAGTCTGGGAACCAGTGAAAGCAGCTCATCGGAGCAATTGCCATGAAAGTATCTGTAAAACAGACAGAGAGAGGCGACGGCGCGTCTGTGAGAAAGTGACTGTAAACGAGATGTCAGAACAGGGCTAATTATATTGCATATCCTCCCTGGAGCCTATCAAGAACCCCGAGGCAAACAGAAAGGGCTCCAGACCATATATGGCAGCAATACTCTATGCAAGGGCGAATTGTTGATTTGTAGATCTGAAGGATCGATTCCGGGAAAAAAAAATCCCTGTCGCGGTAAAGGGAGCCAACTTTCCTTGCGGTGGACGAAGCAATTGACTCAATGTATTTGTTCCATCTCATCTCAGACCGAGCAGCCGCAGAGAGGTGCTCTCGAGAAGTTGAGCGTCAGACATTCTAATGGAGGGGAAAAATAAGAGCTGTCAATTGGCGACAGAACCCTCTAGATTAGTCAACGGGCATTTCATACACACATGCATATATATTTGTTTGATGTACTTTCTTGGAACTTCGAAAAGACGTATCGTCACTCCTTGAATTCGGTGTGCCATACGTTTGTAATGTTTGTTTAATAAGTGATACGCCCGTAAAGCCTGCTTATGCAATGATAAGCAAACAAAACAAGATTTTTTTTTAAAATACTAGAATTTCTTTCTTCTTAATCGCCATATCACATTCTCTGATGAAACTTTAATAAAAGTGAAACATTTTAGATTGATAAACATCTCCTATTTGTTCTTTATCTTATTCTGCCGGATTCCAACCCATATTTGATCTGTATTTGATCCCAAATCATTATGTTCCTTCTACTTGTCATCTCTCCTTGATTTCAGAAGACCATAAATTATACACACGAACGCTGCTTAACAAGTCAAATATACATGAAGCCTGCTCAACCAATAACAATCAGACAACACAAAATAACAATAGCAGTGTATCTTTCATCTTGTCTCCATATCCCATTCACTGATGAAGCTTTAATAAAAGTGAAACGTATTTGGTTAATAAACATTTGGTATTAGTTCTTTATCATATCATTCCATTGAATGCCGACCCATATTTGATCTGGATTTGATCCCACTTCACTATGTTCTTTTGACCTGTCATCTCTCCTTGATTTTAGAACGCCATAAAATATACACTCGAACGCTGCTCAACAAATCAAATATGTATGAAGCCTACTCAATCAATGAAAATCAAACAACGCAAAAATAAAAAATACCAGAATGTTTTTTCTTCTTATTCTTCAAGTCTCATTCTCTGATAAAGCTTTAATAAAGGTGAAACATGTTAGATAAACATTTCTTAATTTTTTCTTTATCATATCTGTCTGTCGGATTTCGATCCATATTTGACCTGCATTTTATCCGAATTTCCTTTCTGTTCTTTAACCTATCGTACTATCGTATGAACATTCGCAGGTACCTAGGTTAGTTTCCGGACGCGCTCTACGCCTACTGAGCATAAGGGAAACCTTTCCTTTAAAGCCTCTCTCTCGGAGAAGGAAGAGTTGCATTTAATAATTTAAACCAGTTCTTTTTCGTTACCTGGAATAAGCTCTGTCGTTTTCCCTAGCTTAGAAATGGAAATAAACACACTTTATAAAAGAAAACAGAATAAGGCATTTATTTGATTGGATTATTGGCAGAAGCTAACCGAATAGATTTTTGCATTGAACTTGCAACGGCGTCAGACAAAATAACATTTATACTGCATATAGAATGTGACCTAATTATTACGAGTCATATGGAAAATGGCGTTAACAGAAAGAGAGCTGTGCCTTTTATCTCGTCATATATGACACGTTCGGCAAAGAAAGGGCGTATTCAAAATTGGATAATATTTCGGCAATACGCGTTTAAAGGTTTTAGGCAGTTTTGATCAACATTTCTTTTCATTGTTAGCCATAAGGAATTGTAAATGTAGGACTACCTCACACTTAAGTAAAATCATAAAAATAATAATATTTATTAAGGATTTATTACAGGAAATATCAAGTTTTACGGAAACATTGTTGACAATTATGTATTTAGTTACATAAGA